AAGAGCCAAAATAATACAATCCATTCATTTACACAATTTTTCCCACCAATGTCCCAGGAGCAGTATTTTACACCACCCTCTGTCTTCACTGGGGTTTATCCCTCATCCCGTGTCTCCTAACATGAGATGGCCTGATATTAAGAGAGCAAAGGCCCCGTGGGTAAAGAGCAGGCTTCTTGAAAAATAGTGGTAAGAATACTGCCATTCCAGAGGTGAGACATATGGGAAGGGATGGTAGGATACCACCTATGTCATTTGGTGCTTAGAACTCAAGTCTGGTAGGTACTTTTCCCTTTTGCTATTGATCGTTTTCTTTAACATTTTATAGCCAGAACATTTGTTGAACACAAGTGACAACGTCACAGTGCAGTGTCACACACCAAGAGTCATCATTCAGACTGTTGCCACAGAGGATATCACTTCTTCCATATCCCAAGCAGAACTGACAATAGATAGTGATATTCATTCTTCTGACTTTCCTGAGCCTCCAGATGCCCTAGAAGCAGACACTTTCCCAGATGAAATTCATCAGCCCAAGATGACTGTAGAGCCATCATTTAATGATGCTCATGTATCCAAATTCAGTGACCAAAATAGCACAAAACTGATGAATAGTGTTATGGTCAGAAGTGAAGAAATCTCTGACACCAACCTTAAACAAGAGGAGGAGTCACCTTCTCCTTTAGCCCGTGTATATGTCACTGAGGTAAGTTCATTCACAGAACAGCCTCTGGGTTGTGGGCCTTGAGTCTCAAACCTGCAGTTTACAAAATCTAGAAATAACTTACGGGGGATGACCTCTGGTATCATTTTTCTTCACATACACACAAAGTGCGAACCCCTGCCTGTGGCCTCATAAGTACCAGTGAACCAGCAGTGTTGCTCTCCTCCCAGTTGCTCACGAAAGCCTTTCCCTCTCTACCTCAAAAAGATGGAAGCATTTTCCTGAGGATGGTTAATAATAGAAGCTTGTGATTCAGCTTAGGAACCTTAACTCCCAGTGTAACCACATGGTTTCTTCTATATTCAGGGGACCTATAACTGAATTTGTTCTTTAGGGCTTTTCGTTAATACTTAGTAGAGTATGAGGTAATTACTTTTGTCCATTTTAAGACCTTTCATTTCTTTATATTCTAGTTTTTACATGGAATAATGTTTGAAAGTTAAGTCTTTCCAAACCTAAATATATTTGGGATCTTAAAACTAAGAAGGAATATGAGTCAGAATCTCATTTTTTAAATTATTTAGGATTTAGAGTCACCTACCATAGAAGAACAAGTTGATCAAACGACAATTGATGATGAAACAATACTTATTGTTCCTTCACCACATGGCTTTATCCAGGCATCTGACGTTATAGATACCTTGCCTCTGACAACTCTAACAGGTACTGTAATACAACTACTCCATCACGTGCCTGGTCAGTCTTAAGGGAATAATCAGGCAGCTATTTAATTCAGTTGTTTTACTCTTTGTTGATCCAACAGGAAAAATTTTAGTCATGTTAGAATTTATACTTTGGTAGAATACTTAGTCTAAATTCTTGACATGGATTAGAGAATATATACATTTATATATATATTTAAAATTGACTTGAAATTCAAACTCATTACAGATCCCATACTCCAACATCATCAAGAAGAATCAAATATTATTGGATCATCATTGGGCAGTCCTGTTTCAGAAGACTCAAAGGATGTTGAGGATTTGGTACATTGTCATTAGGTAATTTCTTAGAAACAGGTGGTTCAGGCAAAGAAGCCACACTGTTCATTATAACATCTCCAAAGAAATGGGAGCAACCCCCAACAGGCTTAATTTTACCATTCCTCTAGCTTTTAAATAGCTACAGTGCTTAAGCCACATACACTGTTGCTGCTATGACTTTTTACCTCTTTTATATGTGTGTGTGTGTATATATATATATATACATCATCTGAGGTCTGGTCTTACACAGTGTGTAGTTAAGGGGAGTGTGGGGATCTTGACTGCCAAGATTCCTGTGACTAGTGTTACTTGTCAGCAGGGAGTTTCATTCACTTTAAAATTGCCGAAGTTTACTATTTTAAAAGCAGTGATAGTCATCTCTAAAGATCAGGCATGGCCACCCCCTATCCAGTCTCACATAGGCCTGCTTTTATTTACAGAGGTCATATCAACACGGTCTAGACTTTACCAGTGACCTTTTCTTCAACAGAATTAAATATTGTTAGTTTGAGACTTGACCAGGATACAAGTAGAGACGTAGGTGGTGACTATATAGCAGTTATTTCTTGGTTTACCCATTGCTGACAGTGGGAGCTGACTGAGGCTGGGTAAAGAGGAAAGCATTAAAAAGGTTAAAATTCACTACAGTTTTTTTAAAATTACTTTTAAAGGGATCGTGGATGAGAGTTGTAACAAAACTCACCAGAAGCTGAGTTTTCTACCCCCTCAGAACCCACTGTCAACAGTTTACAAAGTTTAGCACTTTGAAGTAAAATAGAACTAAATAGGAAAGGCAGTAAAGTTGCCTATCCTATAACATGACCATTTCTTACATGTTTTGTTTTGCTATATGAAATACCCAGAAAGTAGTTGAGGAGGTTATCAGAATTTGCTGTTCACTTAGAGCATTAGCTGATGGGGTGTGATACAACTTTTCCCTCTCAGGCAGTTAAAAGATTTGCTTCTGTAATGGAAGGAAACAAATCAAGAGTCATTCCTATATTAGAGAAGGTTAAGCCAAAACTAGCCTCTAGGGCTTTAATGAAAATAGCCCCTATAGAAAAGTCACAAAAAAAAAACTTGTATAAATTATTTTATTTATTATTGTAATTAGATCTTTACAATCAAAGTTGTCTTTTCACCATCTGTGTTTTGTTAATGTGAAATTACATTGTACTTATAAGCAAAAGTTGGTTGCCTAGGGAACAATTATATATTCAGTTTAACAGAAATAAAAGAATATTTGTCTTAAAATGCAAGATTGTTTGGTACATAGCCTTTCGCCATGCATACATTATAAAAATTTTTATTTTCCAAAGTGAATATTACTTGTGCTGTTTGAGCTTTAAGGGTTGGAATGTTGAAGTATAACATCAGCTCCTTAAAGAATAAGCAAGGTCGTTTATTATATGTTTACCCCACAAGAGGGGATTTAGATTTACAGTTAACATGAAAATCATGTACCAGATGTCTGCAGGAATTCTTCACCAGCCCTTATCCAGCTTCTCTTCACAGTCCTAATACATACAGCTTTGAAAAGACCTGGTAAGGATTTCTCCTTGGCAGCCTCACTTTCCCACATCATGGAAGTACAGGTTTGCACATATACATAACATGATGATAGAAAATAAGATATAGTAAATTAGATTTCTAAATTTCGGTTCTAAGTCTCCTTGTCGATACCAGTAGATCTAAAAGAAGAAGAATTAAAAGTCTTAAGTAATTACCACTGGGCTGAGTATTAAAAATTTTAAATACAACTAATTCTTTCTCCACTGTGAACGATTTGATGTGTATATACCTTTTCCCCTAAGAAGTGTTTAATTCTTAGTTATGATTCAAGTAGTACCAACTCATTTTCCACATTGAAGTTATATTTCTCAGTTAACTTTGTTCTATGTTCAAACCAATAGAGTCCACCAATCATTTGGCAAGCCATCCAATAAAAGATATAACTTTTAGATATTAGAAGGAAGGATTACTCTTAAATTTGTATGACTGATTCAGACTGCCAATACAAAGTAAGGCTCACTATGCATACATCTGGCTTACAGACTAGATGAGTGTTAGCTGCCTCTGGCTTCCGGCTGGGGGTAGGAGGAGAGCTCCTCTGGCAGCCCTGCTCCAAAAGCTCCCAAAGCGGGTCGAGCCAGTGTTCCCTCAGGTCAGAGAGCAGAAGCAGTGAATTCAAAACTTCGAGATGTCCCCTGGTTTAATTTTAGTTCAGATAAGCACATTACTATTATGATTTTTACAGTTTTAGTTGTGATTCTGCCTCTCAAAGGAAATGAAACAGCCAACTAATAATGACTGACTGAATAATTGGTAAACACCCAACTGAGGATCCACCACCTTTATTTCATTACCTAACAGGCTTCTTTTATAGTAAAATTGAATGTTCCTGTGACAAGAATACAACTGTAGCTTTAAACTAGACTAATTCTGTGATTAAAATAAATAAATCCAGCATGCCGTATGTCTTCCCGTAAGAGCAGTAATGGCATTTCCCAAAGCCTAATGGGCCCTGGATGTAGGTCTTAAAGGAAGATGAACTAAGTAAATTACATCAAATCTTTGGCCACCCAAGTCTTCTATTTTTTGTTCTTTTCTTTCTGGTTATCAAGGGAGCAGTTTACCTTTAGGGTTACAACTTTGAGATTTAGAAGAAAAGCAGACTCAGATTCAAAACACTAACAATAATGAGAATTCTGACGTCTTTTGGGGGGAAGAAAGGTATAATTAGAGATACCCTTTCATAGAGACCCAGGGCTGACAACTTGTTCTAAACACTGCAACCTTCATCCCTCAAGGATACTCAATTTAAGTCCTAAAGAGTACTCACAAGTATGCAGGCAGTAATACTACTCAAAGAAATGCAGACAGCAAAAAATATATTCAGTGGTTTTGGAGGTAGTTGAGGGAAAACAAAAGCACTGATCAGCGTTACCTGTGTGAAGAGAAATTATGTCAGGCCTTAGGAGTGATTCTAAGACTCACCTGGCTGAAATCTCTACAGATAATGAACCAAGTCATTTGACTTGTACTACTACTTCACATATTCAGCTGGGAGGTGAGGGTGAACATCAGGTGAGCTAGTCCAGGCACGAACTGCAGTTTTAAGTGGTCATAAAATCAAAGCATTAACTATGACTGGAATACTTGACATCCTCAGGTACTGACCCCTTTTTAAGTGGGGTTTGTCTGGGTTTTTTGGAGAGTGAATTGAATCACTAAAGTTTTCAAAACTGGTGAAGAGCCTAGGTGAGATACAAAACAAAAAAGGTACTTACTAGAATCAGTAAGGATGTTAAGCTGCCAACAACTAAATTGATGATTCGATCCTGAAAGAGAAAAGAGTTTTTGAGCCATATGATCTATCCATGGCACTTTCAGAAAAATACAATGCCAGGCATTGGGCTGATTTAGCAAGAAGAAACCAAGCTTCTCTCTGAGCCTTACACATACATACACAACTGCAAAGGCAAAGTGTTCTGAGCCACTTTGGGAAGACGGGACAACTTGCCAGATGTTTCTTGAAGAAACAGGACACTTACACTGGTGTTTCTGAAGACTCAGAAGGACTTATTGGGAGAAAGGAGGCTTACAAATAACCCATGTGCTGCTGGGAACTACATGGGTGGAAGCAAAGAGACAGGAACACTGGGATGACCAGACACCAAGCTAGAGGATGCCAAGTGCCATCATGAGGTGTTCTTGTTGAATGTAATCTAAAGTGGATGCTAACGCTGAAAGGGATCACGGAATGCCAAGCCTGAAGACAGTCTCAGACCATCTAGTCCATTCTTTTTACAACTTATTTAATAGTACAACTCTTCAGTAAATAAAAGTACAGTCACCTGAATGAGGAGCCTGGGTCCTACTCACTGAGCTTGTCATTCTTGTCCTGACCCCATCCAACTCCACAGTCAGGTTTGAAAAACTTCTTAGCCAATCCTAATTTTACAGGTTAAAGTAAATTTAGGTCCTGAGAGTATGGTTGAATTCAGTGTTTGAAGTCATATAGGCAGTTAGAAGAAACTCTGAAATGGGATTCCTAAACCAAGGTCATTGGTTCGATAAAGCTTCAGTGACTTAAAAAGTTATTTTCAGAGCTTACAGAATAAGGTAATAATGGTTAAAGACCTGATTAAGAAACACTTAAGGCCAATAAGAATACCAATAGCTTTATTTCTGAGGAATCAAAGCTAACTGATGACTCAATAATCTTAAAGACTGGTAACATCTGCATACACAACTGCCAGATGTGGGATGTGACCAGCCAATAAAAAGCTCAGAGATGGGAAGATCACACGAACCAGCGCAGAGCTGCAACTGGACACTCATTTCCAAGTTGCCAGCATTTAGAGGCAAGAATCCAAAGAGTCAGGCAAAGGTGGGAGGGAAGAGTGAAAGCTGCATAATGTATTCTATTGGGTGTGCCTGATCTAACCAGGGACAAACCACTCTCCAGATGGAGTCCATGGCAATTGAAATGTCACATGAGACAAAGGAAACTGAACTCCAGGTACACCTTCACTGAACTAGAAGGACTCAGAACAGAACAGGTCTCAACAGCTGAAGCTAGGGCAGCCTACACTGCACACCAAGGGAGTCTGAAATGACAACCATCTGTTAGGGAGGAGACCCAGGGGCAAATCACTGATGACTACTGCCATACAAGACAGATGTGTGTGCCTCACTGTCTTTGTCTTATGAAAAAGGCTCAACTAAGCTCCTCAGGTGGATTCTGAGAAGTCAGGAATGTCTGCTCCCATCTCTTTATGAGCTCCCGGGATTTGCAACAAAAGTTTACGGAGGTCGGCACCTCACAACTGCTAGTGGAAAGGTTCAGGTGAGAGGCAGTCAAGAAGAATCACTAATAGCCAAACCACATGAAGTTGCCAACCCAGGATCAAAGCAGGGGGGAAATTGGTGATGGGACAGTAACTATGCCAAGAGCTGATACATTCTGTTAAAAAATCCTGGGATGAAATGGTATGACTATTTTACAAGTGACGAAACAGTGCATTCAAACTTAGCTGTTGATGGAATGAACAAACTCAGGTTATTTCTACTTCTCTAGCTAGTCTCTCTTAATTCAGATAATTTCTCACAGAAACTAGCTCTGTCTCTCCAATTTATTATTACCCTATTTCCACCAAAACTGTTCTCCCTTCCCAGAGTTTAAAACCTGTACTGCTGCTTGTTTTCACTCTCCAAGGAAGCTTGACAGATCATAATCAGCCTTGATCCTGACCCACGGAGAGGACAGGCTAGGGAATAGGAAATCCTTTCCAAAGACAATACTCTGCAAAAGGTTGAAAGATAGTCTTAACTCATACATACATAAATAAACATACACACACCCTTACATATACATATAAGCACATAAATTTGCCCAGTTTAGAGAGGAATTCTGCATACATTACTTCATTCATTGAAACATCATCTCAACTGTACCTCAATAAAACTGAAAAAAATTACTATATTCCAGATGCAAATACAACAATGAATAAAACTCTTTACCCTCCAGAAGTTTACACATTCAGAGCTCAAGAGAGCACTAGGGAGAAAGGAAGGAGGTACCTTGGGCAGCCCGGGAGAGACTATCAGAGAAAGTCAGACCTGAAAGAGGACTATCAGATGAACAAGAGGCAAAGAGAAGGTGCTTTATGAAGAAGGAGCTTGCACAGGGACCCCAGGGAGAACAAAAGCACTGCTGTTACGAAAAAGCAATCAGGGAAGTGGGGATAGCTGACAGCTGAGAGGAAAAAGACGGGGATGAGCCTGAATCCAAAGGAGTCTCATGTCTCCTCTTCCTTTGAAATGGGCAAGGAGAAAAAGATGGTTTGTACCTGAGACAGAAGGTAACCCTGTGAACCAAGAAAGGAACACAGCACCTCCATTTATCCACGCCTAACTAGTTTCAACGAGACTGACTTCCCCAAAGTCACACAGCCAGGTACCGGCGGAAGTCTCCTATCCAATGCTCTTTGCAAAATGCAAGCCTAGCAAGCAGTTAAAAGGTCTGAGAAGCATTAGATTAATATAAATGGACCCTAAAATTAGTTAAGAGACCAAGGTTCTCATCTCAGTTCTGCCACTCACTGACTACATGACTTTAAAAGGATCCCTGAACCCATTTGGGTCATCAAATTAGAAGACCTGGGCTAAATGGTTATCTGGTCCCTTCCTGTTTTAACAATTTATGGTTCTAGAATATCAGCCTCAGACTGCACTTGGGCCAGAGTAGGCCTACTCCCTAGCAGTCAAAACACAGAGGAGCCCTGACCTTGTTTGGTCTGGTCAGTCATTAGTAACATCTTGATGTAAAACAGGTCCCAAACTGATTTCAAATACTCAGGTGTTAAAGGATGGCTCTGAGAGGAAAAGTGGCATGCCAAATAATCAAAAGCGGGCAACCTGGAAGCATCCTGGCTCTAGACAGTTAGGAATGCTAACAAATAAAATGATGTTCAACCTGCCCTTTCTCCAGAAATTTATGTTTTGTGCTACTGGATTTAAAGGCTTGTGCTACTACAGTAAATAAAAAGAGCAAGACAAGGTTAATAAAGGGTTTGGGGAATGGTAACGAGTAAAAGGCTTTATATGAAAAACTGAGTAAAGAAAGCTTCCTGATTTAAGCTCACATGTGCACATTACGACTCCTGGCAGCCAAGAGGAATGTACAACAGGGTTTTTAAGTTCTTGCTAATAAAAGCAAGCACACTGGATTATTTCAAGAGGCAAACTTCTCCTGGGTCTAAGGACAGTTCATTGCATGAGTCTGTGCAAATACAGAGAATGCAACTAGCTACTTCATACACAGTCGTTTCTTATACTGACCCACAGAAGAGCTGAAAGCACAATGGCCCCAAAGGAGTGAGACGCGGGGTATGAGGCAGGAGGGCTGACAGGCCAGCATCCCAGCCTGACTGCTCATCCTTCAGAGTTTAACTTGTGGAAATTCCTTCTGGACACCATCCGTAAGCACCCCCTCTGGGGACATGTGAGATGTTCCTGTTTCAGGGCTTACAGGTCACATCACCCAGACTTTATGCTGACTGCATCAAATAAAAAACTACCGCCTGTCTCCTCAGTAGGACCAGCAGTTAATTAGCTAGTGGTGGGCAAGAGAGCCTACCTGTTTTCCTTCCCTAGAGCCTAGCGCACTGTGGCGCTCTGTCAGTCTTGGTCACATGAGAATCATAGAAGTGGCCGACAGCCTTTTCTTCAGAGGGCCTCTCACCAGTAGAGGCTACGCTCATCGGTCACCTAGGGCCTGGCTTGTCAGAAATCTCCAGCCTCCAGTCAGCACAGCGGGTGGCCTCCCTGCTCCAGGATGGGTGTACAACAGCACAGCCACGTGCCCAAAAGTCATGTTTTGCCAGCCACAAGGCCAACACCCAAAAGACTCCCAGGCTAGGCTTTACTGATTCCATGGAAAGAACAGCCGTAAACCATGGGCCTCTCCAGTGTGCAGCTTTCCCTGCTCTTGAGTACAAGCCCAGTTACTTATGTTCTGCTCGAGCAGAAACAAGCACTGGTTTCAGAGGCAGGACGGCAACTTCTGCTGAGGAACTCATCAGCGGTGCCTTGGCACTCCTGAGGAGAAGCAAAGCAGAACAGAAAACGTGCCTTGCAGAAAAGGGAAACCTGGATGCATGCTGCTATGAGGATACTCCGTGCCACACTCTGGAGGGAGACAGTGGAGAAGGGGTTGGGGTAAGACTGAGAATTCCATTTTTGGTGTTACTTCTGACTTTCTCTGCAACTCCATAGTAGTCCTCCGACATTGTCGCAGGTAGCCCCACTGACCCTCATCCGTCCCCCCAGGAAGCACTCCAGGTCAGTCTGCACATCTACAGCTGCCAAGTCCTGTCAGCCACTCCACATGGGCCAGTGCTCCCTGGATTGCGCTGAGCTCCCCCAGGCCCGAGGGGATCCCTTGCTGCCTCTGTGTCTGAACGCTATCCCCACTAGAGTCCACGCCACACACCTATTCCTCTCAGGTTCACTGGGCTGGGAGTCAGGGGACAGGGCATTCCCTGCTCCCCAGGCCACACTGAGAAGGCCCTCAGTATAGTCTCTGCTCTGGTCTGCATGTTTGTGTTCTCCTGAACACTCAGGCTGAAATCCTATGCCCTATGTGACAGTATTAGGAGGCGAGGCCTTTGGGAGGCCCACAGGAAGAGGATCAGTGTTTCAGAGAAGGGGCCAAAGCAAGCCCCCTCAGCCTTTCCAATATGTGAGGATATAAGTCCAAGTCTACAGCCTGAAAGAGGTTACCCAACCCTTACCCAACCATGCTGGCATCCTGATCATGGACTTCCAGCGTCCA